TTTTTATTTTTGTATTCTACAGCTATTTGTTGTGTCTTTTCTTTTTAAATGTTCCTCCAAAGAAAAATTATTCCTGTATAGACCATGGAAATCTGTAGGACAATTATTTAGTGCCACTACGCCATATATTTTCTTCCTCTGCATTCTCTTTCAGTGATTCAGGGCAACCCCTGTCCCTACTCTGCCCTGTTTCTAATGTTTGGAAAAGTAGAGCTAATATTTCTCTTGATCTGCTTTGTATAATTAACAAGTTTTCTTCCTATCTTAATTAAAGCCAAGCTAAAGTAATTTGTGAGAAAGTTAAACTAAATTCTGTTGTTTCCTTGTAAGGATTTGACTTCTTCTTTTTTTATGTAATTCAGATACATGAACAATTAAACATTTGGAATGGAAAGCAAATGGGACCAACCGTAGACATCGAGTCAACTCGGTGGCTGTGACAAGATCATTGTTCTCCCTTGCTTTGAGAATTTGGAACATGAGAAAGAGGCGGAGTTGGGTGCTTCTGCTCTGCATCGTTATGAGCTTCGTTTCCCCCCGAAGCTGCTTGCATTCTTCTTCCATCGCCTCGAACATCTGCCTAACTTGTCTCTGCCCTTCCCTTATACTTCTCTGCTCCTCACTTATTTCTTCCATCTCCTTTTTCATCCTCTTCATGTTCTTTTCTATCTTCTCCATCGCCCTTTTCTTCTGCAGCCGCAAAACATTACAAATTTACAACTTCTCTATATTCAACCCAATGTACACAAAAGAGAAAAAAAAACAAAGGAATGTAAGAAATGTATATACCCGTTGCTGTTTGCTTTGCAAACATCTGGTGCGGTTTTTGGCAATGGGGAAAAGAGAGCTCTTTTTGCTATTGTTGCGGCCAGTTCCACATCCATGAAAATCAAGGAACCTCATTCTAATTGGCTGATTTAACTTGCCTTATTTCTGTTCTTCCCCGGCCCTGGCTTAAGCTTTTATAAACCATTCCTCCCGATTAAAATGTGGGACAATAACTTTAAGAGCAATGCTAGGGGCACTCGCCTCTTGCACTCTCCGGCCAACACTTTCTCTTTTATTGGGCCACGTTATTTTGGTTGCGGAGAGTTTGCGCTGAAAGCATTTTAAGGAAGCTTACGTGGCCCAATGAAAGGGGAAGTGTTGGCCGGAGAGTGCAAAAAGCGAGTGCCCCTATCACTGCTCTAACTTTAAAAATCAGGGAGTACAAAATCTATGGTCAGCAAAAGTAAAAAATATAAAAAATTATTTTTTTGAACATGCATGAGAATTTGTATTATTTAATTAATAATTTACATCAGTACGCAAAAGATTACGTAGCATTGTAGGTGGATTAGTGGTCCAGTAGAGAGGGCACAAATTCTTAAGACACTTTTTGGCCACCCAATCAGCTGCAGAGTTAGCCTTCCTACATACATAGTTAAATTCACAAAAGGAGAAAGATTTGCACAGCTCCCACACGGATAGCACCAATGGCTCTATTTGCCAAGGCAAATGAACCTTTTTGTTAATAGCTTGCACGAGCTCTTTGCTGTCAGATTCAAAAATGATGTCTTTGAGGCCATTCCTAGCTGCCCAGCCTACTGCAGCTCTTAATGCAAGAGTTTCAGCCATTAAAATAGAACTAATTGATTGTTTGAAGGCCAAACCATCAACAAGAATACAGAACTAATTGATTGTTTGAAGGCCAAACCATCAACAAGAATACCCCTACTGTTGCGACAGACCACAGCTAGACTTGCAATACCATTTTTAACATCCACAGCTGCATCAGTATTACATTTAACAACATCTTTGGGTGGTGGACTCCACCTTTGTAATTTATTCTCTAATCCATCCCGAAGTTGTAGCACTGGTGGAATAAGGGGGTCTTTACCATTAACTCTACAAAACTCGTCTGCTAGAAACATGGCCTTCTGAACAACCAATTGCGGTGGCATTGCTTGGCCTTGAAAAATGCCTA